ATAAGTTTATTCAGATACTCCAGATCTTCTTGATTCAGCTTTGGGAGATTATAGGAGTCCAGGAATTTGTCCATTTCTTCTAGGTTCTCTTGTTTCGTGGCATACAGACTTTCAAAGTAGTCTCTGATGATCTTTTGGATTTCTTTGGTTTCTGTTGTGATATCCCCCTTCTCATTTCTGATTCGGATTAGTAGGGTTCTCTCTCTCTGTTTCTTTGTGAGTATTGCTAGTGGTTTATCTATCTTGTTTATTTTCTCGAGGAACCAGCTCTTGGTTTCATTGATCTTTCAGATTGTTTCTTTGGTTTCTATGTCATTGATTTCTGCTCTAAGTTTTATGATCTCTTTCCTTCTGCCTGATTTAGGCTCTTTCTGTTGATCCTTTTCTAATGTCTTGAGCTGTGAGGTCAAGTTGTTTATGTACATCGCTTCTACAGACCTAAGATATGCTTGCAGAGCTATAAATTTTCCCCTTAATACAGCTTTCGCTGCATCCCATAGGTTCTGGTAGCTCGTGTCTTCATTCTCATTTGTTTCCAAGTATCTTTTGATTTCGTCCTTGACATTATTCCTGACCCACTTGTTGTTCAGCATTGAGTAATTTAATTTCCAGGTGTTTGATTTGGTTCTCCGTGTATAGCAGACATTTTAAGAAAAGAAATCTGTAGACCAAAATCCCTCATGTAAACAAAATCCTTAACAAAATTTTGTCACTGTCACTGTACTCCCATTATTCATCGATTTGCTCGAGTGGGCCCAGTAACATCTCCATTGTGAGATTTGTTGTTACTGTGTTTGGCGTATCGAATACGTCACGGGTAGCTTGCCAGGCTTTGCGTGCAGGTGAGATACTCTTGGTAGCTTGCCGGGCTCTCCGAGAGGGGCAGAGGAATCGAACTCGGGTTGGCCATGTTGGCTGCTTGCAAGGCAAATGCCCCACTCACTGTGCTGTCGCTCCAGCCCAACAAAATCATACAATGATCGAATACCCATTGTGAGGCTCACAAGCAGGCTACTCAGCAACCATGACAGCCTACAGCTAACATTAAGTCTCAGTTAGGCTTAGCTTCTGCTTCCCCAAAGCAGGACTTGCAGTTTCTGGTAAACTCCCAATTGAGTAATTTACCTAGGTAAGAAACTGGGCAGTCATGAGCATGATCAGTCATGAGGGATCACCGCACCCTCTTTGAAAAAACCCCAAACTGTTACTTGTGCCTACTGTCCAAGTGCTGACCACTGTTGTAATAGGGAAATGCTAACAATAAATCAGTATATAAACCGCTTCATGACTGGACCCTATATAAACTGCTTGTGATTTGGAGTCGGGGTCCTTGTCAAGACTCCATTGCGTTGGATGAGACTTGGACCCGAGCTCGAGCTAGCAATAAAGTTCCTTTGCTTTTGCATTATCGTGTGTGGACTTGGTCTCTCCGTGATTGGGTTTCCAAAACTCAGGCACAACACCACCCCTCCACCAGTGCACATTTTTCACCACCAACATTCCTAGTATTTCTAACCCCACCCTGGCCCATTCTACCCCTCCCCTCCCCCTCCCCCATACTCTCTAATTTTGGGCATTATGGTTTTCAATACAGGTACTGATAGGCTATCACGGAAAACAATCATATTAACTACAGAAATAGCCATAAAAATTTTAATTTAAAAACAAACAAACAGGGGCCAGAGTGATAGTACAGTGGCTAGGGTACTTACTTTGCATGTGGCTGAGCACCACTGGGTGTGAGCTGCCACCCCTACCCCCAAAAGGGGAAAGCATACAATAAAATGACTATCAGGATACAGACAAAAGAGAATAAAACAAGTTTTTGAAAAAACCACTACTAGAGGCATTGAAAGGGTGAGAGAGATAGCCCAATGGACTGAGTGCAAGTTTTTCATACAAGAGGCGAGCTTTGTTCCTGGCACAAAATCCGTGGATAATAACACAGAGAATAACACCCAGATATATTCAGTGGTAGAGTAGATACTCTGGGTTCTAAAAGTGGTAGAGGCTGTAATCCCTCCTGTTGCCCCCCAAATAATCAAGAGACAAAATAATGAAAATGCAAAAGAGATAAAAAGAATAAACTCCTATCACTACAGTCCCTGAAGAATAAAAAATGAACTAAAACTAGTATTTGAAACTATAATTCAAGAAAACTATAGAAATTTCAAAAGACATAAATCTACATATTGCAAGGACCAACTGGGAACCTAGAAAGAATTAAGTCAGAATAATAAACATTCCACAATATAACCCTAGTGTAAAATTACTCTCAAAGATAAAATAATCTTCAAGGCCTTTAGACAAAGATGAATAAAAATAAAAGGAGCAGCATTTTAAATTTTAAAATTTGTTATTTGGGTCATAGACCAGGCTGTGCTCAGGAGTTATTACTCCTCCTTACTATACTCAGAGATCACACCTGGTGGTACCCAGAAAACCACATGAAGGGGTTTAGGGAACAGAACACAGGTAAGGCCATGTGCAAGGCAAGTATCTAACCTGATATCTCTCCAACCCCAAAGGAGCAACACCTTTTAAAAACACAATACAAAAAGTACTGATTTTATCTCCAGTCAAGTTGTCCTTCAAATAGCAAAGATATTTAAAAAAAAGTTTTAACATCCAAATGTTAACATTGTATGCTTCATACTAAATGTTAAGAAGTTAGATGAAGGCTTGCTTTTCAAGCCTATGCTCATTTGCTTCTTGGCTTGCCTATTTCCACTCTGGACATGCCTGTGTTCTTTCTCAAATATGTATTTCTCCCTTTCTTTCCCCTCACATTTTCTATTAAGTTTCAATAAAAACTTTTTTGCTTCACAAAAAAAATAAAATCAGATAGGGATGGAGAGATGGAGAGAGAGCACAGTGGGTAAAGCACTAGCTGCGCAGGTAATCAATCTGGGTTCGATCACGAGCACCCCATATGGTTCACCAATTCTGCCAGGAGTGATTCCTGAGTGCAGAGCCAGGAGCCAGAGCACAACTAGGTGTGGCCAAAAACCATACAAACATAAGAACTGATAAAATACAACACACAAGGGCTGGAGTGAAGGGTGTTTGCCTTACACGCAGTCAACCCGGGTTCGATGCCTGGCAACCCATATGGTCCCCAGAGTACCACCAGGAATAATTCCTGAGTGTAGAGCCAGGAATAATCCCTGAGTATCCCTGGGTGTCGTGACCCCAAAATTAAAATAAATAAAACATACCACATAGAAAATATTTTCAAACAACTCATCCGGCAAAGGTCTGGAATCTGAATAAGTACTCTAAAAAACAAATACAGGGCTGGAGAGAGAGCATAGTGTTTAAGGCCTTGCATGCTGCCAAACTGGTTTTGATCCCAGTCACTACACAGGACCCTCTAGGCACTTGAGATAGTTCTTTGACCACTACCAAGAGTGCTCCCTAAGAGTAGAGTCAGGAGTAAGTTCTGAACACCACACAGTATGGTCCCAAAACCAAAATAACAAAGAACTCAATAATGAAAAGAAACTTAATAAGCAAAAAGGGGACAAAAGATCTAAACACATACTTCACCAAATATGATACAAGGATAGCAAGCAAACACAAGAATACTCAACATCTTTAGTAACAAGAAACATTCCAATTAGAACCACAATAATAATAGCCACTATACAGTTATTAGGATCAAAAAACAAATAAACACTAACAGAGTTGGAGGGCAACTAACTCTCATCATTGCTGGGGAAAATGCAAAATAGTAAAATTACCTTAGTAAGCAATTTGGTACTTTCTACAAAGTTTAATACATGACAGCAATCACACACCCATGTATTTAATACAGACAAATGAAAAATTATGTTCCTATAAAGACTGTATGAAAATCTTTACAGCAGTTTTATATAAACTTTTCAGAAACTAGGAACAACCTAATGCTCACAACAGATATTAGAATAAATTCATATAACTAATGCTTCTTAGCAATAAAAAAAAATCATGTGTACAGAGAAATGGCTTAAAGGGCTGGAATGTATGCTATGTAAGCAGGTGTCTCAGATTTGATACCTGGTACTTCATGGTCCTCCGGTACTGCTACATGAGAACCCCAAGCATTGAACAGGGATTAGTGGCCAAAAACCAAAAGCAACAGCATATTTGTTACACAAAGGATATTCATCTTCTAAAACTAATATAGGAGAAATATAGAAAACATTGAGTGAAAGAATTCAGATTTTAAAGAGTATACATAATTAGATGGAGCAGCAGTACAGTGGGCAGGGTATTACTACATTAATAATTACTACATTAATACAGGGTAGTATTATTACAGACTTACTACACATGGCTGACCCAGGTTCAATCTCAGACCCAGATCTCCGGCACTCTGTATGATCTGCTGAGCACCACCAGGAGTGATCCCTGAGTGCAGAGCCAGGACTAAGCCTTGGGCAACACCAGATGTGCCCCACCACACCACCCAAAGAGGATACATAATAACTTTCCACTTATGCAAAGTTTAAGAATAGACAACAATAATCATGGTAATAGTTAAGAATAGTGACTGTTGGAGGCAGGAGTTGGGTGAAACTGATTTGAAAGAACACAAAGGTGAAGACTATATGTTCAGTATCTCAATCTAGATTATGATACATGTGTATGTTTGTCAATAATGTATGAGGCTGCACACTTAAGATATGTGCATTTTACTGGTGGAGGGATGGATACTTGATCATTGTATAACTGAAACCTAAGCACAAAAGTTCATAAGTCTATAACTGTACCTCATGGTGTTTCACTAATAAAAAAAAACCTTCATAGTTAAAAAAAAAAAAAGATATGTGCATTTTACTGTGAATAATTTATTGACCAGCTTAATGAATAGCTATGTATAATCTCAATGAATAGCTTTCAAAAAAGCTAACCTTTTAAAAAGGCATTAATATATTTACTGTAATACTATTCTGTGTACTTGCTTCCTTTTTAATACTATTTCTTTAAACTACACCAAATTCAACTCTGACTTTTACCTGAAGAACACTGTTCCATTTTCTTTTATTTTATTTTTCTGAATAGGAGATGCTTGAAATGACAGAAGTTTATTTCCTGGCAGGGTAATTTGCTTTAGAATTGAAACTATAAAAACAAAAGAAGAAAAATTAGAATGGCAAAAGCAATCATATCACATTAGGAAAATTTAGAGTAACAGCTCTAAATACATGTATCTATAAGAAAAATCTAAGAAAGTTTAAGTTGCCTTCAAATTAAATTCAAACATGATGATACCTACACAAGAAATATCTTATAAAATCAAGACCTTTCTATTTCCTTTTTTACAGTCTCCAAAAAAGTCTACAGAATTACCAGCTATATAAAAATGTTATGCAAAAATAGGTGAAACAGGGGCCAGAGTGATAGTACAGCAGATAGGGTGCCTGTCTTCCACCTGAGCCCTGCCTGAAGTGATCCCTGAGTATAGAGCCAAAAGAAAGCCTTGAATATCACCAGATATGCCATCTGACCCTCCCAATCTCCCAAAAAAGGAAAAAAAATGGTACATGCTAAGAATAACAGCATTATATTGTAGTTTTTAAAAACACATGAAAAACCTTCATGCAGAAGACTGATTTCCAAGCTTAGAGAATAAAAGCACTTTTGGGGGCCATTTTTGTTGTTGTTCTTGGGCACATAGGCAGAGTTTAGGTGCTACCCTCAGCCTGCTGCAAGGATCCAAGCTGGGGCTCCTGCATACAAAGCATGGGACTCCACTTTGGCCAGGCAATACATTTTAGAAAGAAATATGACTGTAACAAATTTGTTATCAAAAGTTTATTTACTAGTAGATCATATTAATTACAAAACTGAGTAGCTGCTTCTTTTATTATAAAATAACATATACCTCAGAGAGAACAAAAGGGAATACCCTGCCACAAAGGCAGGGTGGGATGGGGAGATGGGAGGGATACTGGGACCCGTGGTGGTGGAAAATGGGCACTGGTGGAGGGATGGGTGTTTGATCATTGTACAACTGAAACCCAAGCACAAAAATCTGTAAATCTACAACTGTACCTCATGGTGTTTCACTAATAAAAATTAAAAATAAATAAAAAATAACATCTACCTCTAAAAAGTGGCTAAGTATCTACAGAAAATATAAAGTTACCTTCTGGCCTTTCTGTAAGTGTCAAATTAAAAAAATAAATCTCTCATCTTAATATAGCACAAAAAATATAGTACAAATCCCAAATCCCACCACATTCCAAACTCAGTATAATGTGAGAGAGATGCCCCAGAGTCTACCTGGAGGAAACTGACTGGGAGGTATTGCAGTGGTAACTGGCATCTTCTGTACAGCTTTCTGAACGGTCAATGCTGAGGAATGGGAAAGTGTGGTCACTTGTTTTGTAATACCTCCTGAAGGCTGCTGGACTACCTGAAATAATGAGAATTATCAATATAATCATTGACCAAAACATGTTTTAGGAAAGAACAAGCTTTCAGGAGACCTAACCATAACACACTTCTGTTTAACATAAGCAAAAAGGCAGAAAGATAGTACAGTAGGTAGTGCATTTGTCTTACACAGGGTCGACCCAGGTTCAATCTCCAGCACCCCATATGGTCCCCTGAGCCCACAGAGAGTGATCCTAAGCAGAGCCAGGTGTAAGCCTGAGAATTTTGGGGTAGGTCTCCCATCCCCACCCCCCCCCAAAAAAAAAAAAACGAAAAACATAACCACACAGCACAGAACCAGAGGAGCAATAGTACAGTGGATAGAGCACTTGCCTTGCACATGGCTGACCTGGGTTTAATCCCTGGCACCCGGTAAGGTCTCCAGAGTCTGCTAGGAGTGATCCCTGAGCACTAAGCATCAAGAAGCTCTGAACACTGCTGGATGTAGCCCAAACTACCCACTACCCTGGCCATCAAAAAAAAAAAAAAAAAAACAAGAAACAAAAACAGAGTATTTTAGTATTCTTTAAAAAAAAAGTGTCTTTTAAAATAAAAGTATTACGCATTTTACTAGGAGATTGGAATTAGTTTATGTCATAATATTGACCCAAAGATGAGTGACTTACTCCTACTTGGCAAAAGAAAGAGCAATCATGTTTTTAAAATCTTAAGTCCTTTATTTATTTCCCTACAAAAAAAATCACTAGAGGTGAACACACAAAAAAATTATATCTTGATATGTCAAATACTATTTTCATCAGGTATCAAAATAAATTAGCATTCCTATAATAATAAATTACAATAAAATAAAATAAAAATAATAAGTTACAAGTCTAGAACTACAAAATAATTAAAGGTGTCAGATTCTTTTATATTAATTATGATTTTCACAGTAAGTGTGATTTGAAATAGCTAATGAAGATACTGTTTTTAAATTCTGTAAGAAATGGAAACAAAGAAACACAAGTTTAGATCAAACAGATGAGAACTTCTCATACTTAGCTTTCTCTGTGTTTCTTTTGGGAGAAAGAAACAATGCTCAGGGAGCCTAGGGGTCTGCCAGCAAGACCTAGCCAGCCCTAACCAGACAGTTCAATGCTTCAGCTAGGCAATGCAATGTGATGTGCTGCTCAGGCTCAAATGTACTGGAAGCCACAAGAGCCACTGCCACTTTGGCAAGACTCAGAGATTCATTCTAGGAACTGAACTTAAGACCTTAAGCATTTTCTTCTCTGTATTTCAACCTCAACCTACTCCCCTCATCATATTAACTCAACAAATACTTATCTATGCATACTTGAATTAGCATGCGCATAAAGTTACAGGAATAAAGGATAATGAACTCCACTACTTTCTATATAATACTCAATATGTGACTGCTGGAGTGCACTCACTGAGGTTGAGTTATAGAAAGTAGAGGGGTTCAACTAAATAAAATGCAATAAAGAGAAGACTGTAAATACATTTTCTGTTGACAACTATTTCTTAGGAACAAAGTATGGTTCTTGTATCACTTCCCACCATCTTCTGGAACAATGTATACATCATTAAATGCCAGCACTTCTTATGTACCCAAATTAGCACCAGATCTTTTTAAACTCAGAATTTTATTAAATATCCTACAGTGTGAGTTCAAATTTAACAGGCCCAATCCAGATTGAAGTTTTACTACAGAAATCACTGTAACCTTAAAGGTTTTCAAATTATTTTAAACTTTGCATTTCAAATGGGGGCCAGAGAGATAGTACAGGGATTAAGGTACTTACCCTGCACATAGCTGACCCTAGTTTGATCCCCAGCAAGTACATAATCCCCCAGGACCTCCCAGGAGTGAGCAGAGTCAGGAGTTAACACTGAGCACTACCAGGTGTGGTCCAAAAACCAAAAGAAAATTATATGTTTTTATGTGTGAATATACAAAGAAAAAGATAAAGCAAATATGGTGAAATAGTGTTTGCTCAAATCTGGTTAAGGGCAAACAGAGTTCATTTTACAACCCCTGCCAGTTTTCTAAATGTTTAGCCTTTTTTTTTTTCTTTTTTGGGTCATACCTGGCTATGCACAGGGGTTACTCCTGGCAGTGCTCAGGGGACCATATGGGATGCTGGGAATCGACCCCAGGCTGGCCGTGTGCAAGGCAAATGCCCTACCCACTGTGCTATCACTCCAGTCCTGTTTAGACTTTTGTAAACTAAAAATCAGGAAAGAAAATGTTACTCACTAGTTGTTTGACTTTAACTGCCTGTGGAATGCCAGCAGGTTGTGAAAGAATGGGACCTGGATGTGAAAGTTTGATCTGGACTGGAGCACCAATGACAGGCTTGTCAAATGTGGTCCGAGTAGAAGCAACAATAGGTTTCATAGACGGGAGACAAATTGCTGCTGCTGAAGTTTCTCCAAAGGTTACCGAAGGGAGAGTCAGTGTTACTGGTGTCCCAGAGACAACTGGCTTCTCAGGTTGAAGTGCAACTGCTTTAACGGTATTTTGTACAGATGTCATAAGAGACTTTGGAGTCTGAACCAACATAGTTCCAGTGGCTGTTCCTGCTGGTACAGTGGCTGACCCTACAGAATCAAGAGTCACAACTCCAGTTTTTGCTCCTACCAGACCAGCAACTGGATTCAGAGTTTGTACTGACACAGTTCTTGGTGGTGCTGCTCCAGAAACAATCAAGGACTTTTCACATTGGGTTGAGGAAATTGTTGTTGTCACCACAGGAGGAGGTGTCACTGTTGTTGTACAGGTAGCAATGACAACCTCTCTAGAAGTCTGCTGAACACATTGCTGAATAAAGCTTTGGGAGTTAGGCATGAGTTGTCGTAAGGCCGATACACTTTTCTGGAAAAGAAAAAAGAAGAAAGTAACAGATTAAAAAAGAAATCAACTTTGCATTTCATATTTTTATTAGATTTAAGACCAGGGATGTGGCTCAGTGGTAGAGCACCTGCCTGTCATGTATGAAGCCCGAGGTCAAACTTATCTGTATTCACCCAACTCCCATAAAAGATTACTGGGAATAGTAGTATCTTTTAGAAAAAAAATAATTTTTTTCCTATTGACTTTCAAATTTGATAGAAATAGTCTTAATATAAGCACAGTTAAATAAATGTAAGATGTAAATAAAAGCAAGATGTAAATAGTAAAAAACAACTAGTTGATACCTTAATTAAACTAGAAACTTTTTGATTGATGTTGTAAGATTACTTTGTTTTGAGTTTGGTGCCAATAGATAAAACTGAGGTTGTACACATGGAAGGCAAGCACTCTACTGCTGAGCTATATCCCTATTAAATCCTGAATGCTTTAAGTTAGTACCTGTAGATGCATACTCCTGAATGAAAAAAGAAAAAAAACAAAAAAACCGCAAACCAGTCAAACGAAAAGAAAAGAGTTCTGCCTTTTCATCCATGGGTTTTTGGCTTTTTTTTCCCCCTTTGTGTAATATAAGGTCACTCAGCTAGTTAGGGAGGCTGGAACTGGGACATGAATGTCAGCTTCAGTCTCTAGACCTGTGGCTTTGAGCCAAGCTGCCCTTAATCTCATTCTGAGAGCTTTTTAAGCTTACCCAGAATGAGTGTCTCCTCAGTGAGACAGAATCCCAGGGTGAAGGAAGGATACCTTCGTTAATAGCTTCACCCAAAGCGGGTAGGGCATTTGCCTTGCACGCATCTGACCCGGGTTCGATTCCTCTGTCCCTCTCAGAGAGCCCGGCAAGCTACCGAGAGTATCCCGCCTGCATGGCAGAGGCTGGCAAGCTCCCCATGGCTATTTGATATGCCAAAACCAGTAACAACAAGTCTCACACTCGAGACATCACTGGTGCCTGCTCAAGCAAATAGATGAACAATGGGAGGAGAGTGCTACAGTGCAGTAATATAAGAAAGACTGCATTCATCTGGGGAATGTAAAGTAACAAAATAGGAGACTAACACCCAAGAGTGGCAGAGATTAGTACCAGGAGGTTTGCTCCATGGCTTGGAGGCCAGCCACACATGCTAGGGGACAAGGGAGCTCAGATAGAGAAGGGAGCACCAAATAAAGGGTGTTGGGAGGATCCTCCCAGGATGGGAGAAGCATGCTGAAAGTAGACTATAGACCAAACATGATTGCCATTCAATGCCTCTTTTGCAAAACACAACACCCAAAAGGAGAGAGAAGAACAAAAGGGAATACCCTGCCAAAGAGGCAGGGTGGGATGGGGAGGATGGGGGGTGGGAAGGATACTGGGACCCATGGTGGTAGAAAATGGGCACTGGTGGAGGGATGGGTATTTGATCATTGTATAATTGAAACCCAAGCAAAACAGTTTGTAAGTCTACAACTGTACCTCATGGTGTTTCACTAATAAAAATTAAATTAAAATAAATTTTTAAAAATTGTAAAAAAAAAGAAAAGAAGTGGGGAGGTTACCTTTTTATGAGTTCATAAGTGTTTTAAAGGTTTTCTTGTTTTGATGCTTAAATTCAGTTACTGTCCTTATTCAATAATTAAATGAGTATTATTGCTCTCTCCCTTTTATTTTCTTTACACAATTTCTTAATTTTTAAAAAGTGGGGTTTTTTTAAATTCAAAAATACTTCGATATGCCAGACACAGTAACAAAGTATTTTAAAGTATTTTAATTAGAGTTAATCCCTGAGTGCAGTACAGAGCCAGGAGTAACCCCTGAGCAACCCTAGGTGGACCCGTAAAGAAACACACACACACACACACACACACACACACGCGCGCGCGTGCGCGCTATTGGGACTAGAGAGATAGAACAGCGGATAAATCACTTGCCTTGTACGTGGCTGACCTGGGTTTGATATCTGGCACCTCACATGGTTCCCCAAGAGCACCAAGAGTGATTCTTAATTAAGCCCAGAGCCAGAAGACACGGCCCAATAACCAATCAAAAAAAGCTATCTAAACACCATGGTAAGGAGTATGGCACCCAGTAATCATTTATGCGAAAACACAATGATTTCCCAAAGAACACTACCACCAGAATGCAAATGAGCACTACAATCAGCACATATGATACATAATCCATCATTACTAAAGCATAAAAGGAAGGAGAAATTAAATTTAAAAATATGTGTGTGTGTGTGTGTGTGTGTGTGTGTGTGTGCTATATACAACAAAAAAAGGCAAGCAGTAAAAAGTGTTTCTCATTTCCCCCACAAACTTTAAAAATACTAGTGAGGCAGGTGAGGGTGGTAGGAGGCATTGGTGGTAGGAAAAATACAGTGACGAAGGGAAGGATATTGGAACATTCTATGACTGAAACTTTATCATGAACAACTTTGTAACTGTGTGTCTCAAGGTGATTCAATAAAAATAGGTAAATAAATAAAAGATGACTAATAAGTTGATAATATCAGAGGATCTAGAAATAATCATTGTTAAAATTTATGCTTACAGAAAATGGAGATACATAAGTACTAAAATTACTATTTTTATATCATACATGTATTTAATTATAGTGCTCAATAATTGAGAAATATGCTGCTGAAATAAAAAAATAAAATAAAAAATAAAAATAAGAAATAAAAAAAGCATAAGCATAGTATTATCATATAATTAGTAATAAGACAAAATATTTCTTTTTTTTTTTTTTTGTATTTTGGGTCTCACCTGGCAATGCAAAGGGGTTATTCCTGGCTCTGCACTCAGGAATTACCCCTGGCGGTGCTTAGGGGACCATATGGGATGCTGGGAATCGAACCCGGGTTGGCCGTGTGCAAGGCAAACGCCCTACCCGCTGTGCTACTGCTCCAGTCCCAAGACAAAATATTTCTAAGATGATATGCCATTTTCTAACAAAGAAAAATGGGTAAAACTGGTAGTAATGCAAAGTTCCACAAGATTCTTATAATTTGAGTATAAGAGATTGAAACATGCATCATTCAAAAATAAAAAACTGGGGGAGGGGGGGAAAATAAATAAATAAAAATAGGGTGTGGAGTGATAGTATAGTGGATTGGCATTTGCCTTGCATGTGGCTGACCCAGGTTCTATCCCTGGCATCCTATACGGTACCCCTAGCACTGCCAGGATTAATTCCTGAGTGCAGAGCCAGGAGTATTGCTGGGTATAACCCCAAAAGCCAAAAAAAAATGAATAAATAAAAATAGCAGTGAGCCTGGGATGTGACACAAGTAAGAAGAGAATAGCACATGGCTTGCACAGGTGAAGCCCTACCTTCTATTTTTTTGTGTAGCATGGCAACCAAGGCCAACCACCACAATAAAATTGTTTTTAAAAATTAAAGACCGTGAGGGCCAGGAATATAGCTGAAAAGGATGATGGGCATGTTTCGCAGGCATGAAACACCAAGTTCAATTCCTGGTACTGAATATACCCTGTAAGCATCATCAGAGGGGGCCTCTAAGCACTACTGGAGCAAAGCAGCAAGCATCCCATAACCAAGTGAATAATATCATAGGCCCACACTGCTGGGGGCCTTATAAAAAATAAATATATACCTTGTCTTTAAATAAATACTACCACTGGGCGGGGGTTGGGGGGACTGTGTACAGATATGAATAAATAGAAAACACGCAGCTTTCGGCAATATAAATAGTGGCATGATACAAATAATTGAAGGGTTAGAGATCTAAAGTGCAGAGATTCTGGGAAAATAGAACTGGAAAGAAATGTTCAAGTAGGAGCTTGAGTGAGAGGATAAGGTGTGTGCATTGCATACAGCTGATCTAGATTCAATTCCTGGCATCCCAAGGATTCCCAGAGCACAGGTAGGAGTAATTCCTGAGTGTGGAGCCAGAGTAAGGCCTAAACACTGCCAGGTGTGGCCCCAAAACAAAAAATGTTAAAGTAATAAAAAGAAAAAAATGAAAAATGAATGTCTAAATTATCTCAAATCTCTTAATCACCTGGCAAACAACAAAAAAGTATCTAACAAAGCATCAGATACATAATATTTATTGACTAATTTTCTTTCTCTCCGCAGTGAGTATGATAGGTAGATAAACACAGGAGAGTTGCCAGTGTAACGAAGAGTGTCTAATAATTACATAACCTTTGCACTGAAAGGAACCTAGAGCCAGAGAAACATAGTACAGGGGTTAAGGGACTTGTGTTGGGTACTGTCAGTCCTGGTTTGATCACCACATATGATCCCAGAGTACCTTTTCTTTAGAAGAGGGGTAGGGGGCACACCCAGCAATGCTCAGGAGTTACGGTGCTTAGAGGACAATATAGGGTGCCAGGGATCAAATACGGGTCAGCTGAGTGCAAGTCAGATACTCTACCCTCTGTAGTATAGCTTTGGCCCTGATCCCTGAGTACCTTAAGAGTAACTCCAGAGCAGAAAATCAGGAATAGCCCCTGAGCACCACCAGTCACCACCAATCACCTCCTCTCCTCCCCTACAAATGAAAAAAGAACCCAAGGAAAAACTGCCTCAATTTCTCTCTCAAGAGAATCATCAGAAATATGGCTCCAATTACTTGGTACTATGAATTTTCTAGATCATTCAACCTTTCCTTCCACAGGTCCAATCTTCCCTGGTTAAAATTTTTAGTTTAGGGCCAGTGATAATGGGTTAGGCACTTGCTTTTCATGTAGTCAACCTAGGTTTGATACCTGGCAACAATTATGGTTGTCAGAGCCCCTCCAGAAGTGATCTCTGAGCACAGAGCCAAGAGTGAGCACAGAGCTGTTTAAACAAAACATTTTGTCTAAACAAAAATGTCTTTAGTTTCTTATATTACAAGATTTGCTCCCTCTTAATGTTATTAATATTCTAGGGACAGTGTCCACTATTTTAATATCCTTCTGGAAATGTGCTGCCCCATCTCCCCTTTCATAAGGTAACCCAAAAAGGTTCCAATGAAACCTCTTTCATCTCCCCTAGACAATTAAACCAAATTTTTCTAAAGGCAACTTCCTCATTCCATTATTTTAAAATTCATGGAATGAATTTTTAGTTCATTGTATTCCCAGGTCTTTAATGACTCTAAATTTCAATTCAATTCCTTTTCAGCTTTAAGTATCCAAAAGGAATTTATATTTTAATCTGACAAAGGATGCTCAGGGGACCATGGGCTACCAGGGAATAAACCCACAATCCTGCGTGTAAAACATATAGGCTCACTCCATTGAGCTATTAACTGTCCAGTCCTTCCCCAAGTTTTTGTTTTCAAAATTATTGTTCTCCATCAAATTCTATTTGATTCAGTAAGTTACAGAGAAAAGGATGCCTCCTGACACATAAACATTAGTAGCATCCCATTAATTTGGCAGGCATAACGTTTATATCACAAAATCACAAATCATCCTGCTAATCATCAATTGCCTCTAGCAGGCCCCAGTAACGTCTCCTTCATCCTAGCCCTGAGATTATATTCAAGGCTCTTTAGGAGAATGAGACCCATCATTGTTACTGGTATTTGGCATATACGTAAGGGATTATAAGTCATTAGGACTAGTCTGAAGGTTTCACACACACACACACACACACACACACACACATTCGAAATAGGGATAGAGGAGAGGAAGGTTTGGGCCATACCTAACCATGCTCAGAGCTTACTCCTGCTTCTGTGCTCAGGAATGAATGCCTCTGTTCTCTCTAGCCAAAATTTTTTTAAGCAAAGAATATCTGAGTGGATCAGAGAGCTATTAAAGGTATTAAAATCCTTGCCTTGCCAAAACTGTTCAATCTTCAATACCACATATGGTCCTCTAATCTTACTCCTTCCTGCCAGGAATGAGTACTGAGCATAACTGGGTCAGCTGTGCTTCCCCTCCCCTCCAAATAAAATTAAAATGAGTACATAAACATTAACTAAAACCATAAAATCATGTTAAACCATAAGATGTTATTTGTTTTTGTTTTCTAATCCAATGAATATAAACTATGAACATTATTTTTAAAGATTTCAAGAACACTAAGAAGTTCCTCTCACGTTGTTAGTATCTTCACATTAAACTGTTGTCAAATTGAAATGCTCAGGTAATCAAATCCAAATAACTATACCTTAAGAAAAGGAACGAGGTGAGGCTGAGGTGAAGACTTGAGTTCAACATATAGTTGTTTAGTAAATTCTTCTGCTTCAATTTTTGCATCCTGAGAAATAGGAGAAAGAAAAGACTTTTAGGTCTATACATATTTTTTAAAGTGTGTAATTCATAAGTATAGATAGGCATAGCAAGCTTTTCACAGAGATAGAATTCGTCATAAGGGCCACCATCATTGGGGAGGGTGGTTACCATGCATATGGTTCCCTAAGCACCACCAGGAGTGATTCCTGAGCATAGAACCAGAGCCCTGAGCATAGCCAGTTGTGACACTGCCAAAACAACAAAATTGCTCCAGTAAGCAAGGGTGGGGAAATGTAGTTCAGAGATAGTCAATGCCTCTCATTTCGATAAGGCCCTGGGTTTGATAAACAGAACTAAGGGAATCTCCCCCCAAAATGAGCAAGTATCTGGCAGACTGAATGAGGCAATAATATTATAGTCTCTTAATTAGTATGCATGAGCCTGAGAAATAGTACAAGAAGGGACTTGCCTTGTATGTGCAAACTGGGTTTAATCCCAGCCACTAAACACGGTTCCCTAAGTACCACCGGGATTACTTCTGAGCAGGGACAGGAATAGCTCCTGAGCATCACCAGGTATGGCCTACTTTTCCCTCCCCCAATCCACTCATAAAAGAAGAGAATAATTAAGAACCAGGATCCTAAACTTCTTAGGGTAAAGAATAAGTTATTTGGTTTGGTAGTCTTGTGGTCAATTTGTTTTGATTTAACTTGGAGGTGGAAGTTGTGTTTGGGCTACATGCAGGAATGCTCAAAGCTTACTCCTGGCTCTGTACTCAGGCATCACTTCTGGTGGTGTTTTTGGAGACCACATATAGAGCCAGGGCTCAATCCCTAGCACCACATATGGTTCCCTGAGTGATCCGTAAGCAGAGAGCCAGGTATAAGCTCTGCTCACCACCAGGTGTGGCCCAAAATAAATCAAATCAGAAAAAGATAGTATTATTCTCAAGTCAAAATTAGAATTTTAGTAAATACATAACCACAATCCTGAGCCTGATGGTTTCTCAAGTATTAGCAAGAATTTTCTAGTGAGACTGCAAATGTGATTTTTAAAACATCTGTGTAATTTAGTGACCAATATTTTCCAAATATCCAAATGCAACACTAAAGAAAAATCCAGGGCCTAAGAGAGATTATAGTGGGCAGGCATTTGCTTTGCACGTAGCTGACCTGGGTTCACTCTGCATGTAGCATTGCATATGGTTCCAAACATTGCCAGAAGTGATTCCTGAATACACAGCCAGGAGTAAACCCTGAACACCACCAGGTGTGCACCTCTCCGCCAAATAACAAAATACAGAATATATCAGTGGACTCCAAAGAATCCACAGTGACATGGTGAGACAAACTATTAAAATATTTACTTTTCGGCTTAAGAGAGATAGTACAAAGAGTAAGGAGCTTGCCCAGCATAGGGCCATAGCTGAGGAAATGGTTCAAATCCTAGCACCACACATGGTCCCCTGAACACCAGCAGGCAGTGACCCCTGAGCATTGTCAGGTGTGACACAAAAATAACAAAAACTTACTTTGCCAACTAATTGATAAAGTAGCCAGATGTTGTCCAAACACAACAAAAATAATAGATGACAAAATACTGAATGCAGTAGTAGATATGGAAATCCAACTGTTTTCTAATTAATTATACATTAGATTTGTATAATTGTATATCAATACCACTTCTCTAATTCTTTCATCCTGGAAACTATACTTTTTAATTATTATTTTATTTCTTTGGTTTTGGCTTCACATCTCCAAGTGCTTAGGGGTTATTTCCATCTGAGTGCTCAAGAGTCACCCCAGAGTATGCTCAGGATACCATGTGATGGCAGAGATCAAATCCATTTTCCTGCATATAAAGTATGCACTCATACAGTTGAGCTCTCATTCTAGACCTAATTGTTAGGGGCCAGAGTGGTAGTACAGCAGGTATTTGCCTTGCGCATGGTCAACCTGGATTTTGCCCCCACATCCCTAATCCTTGCCAGGAGTAACCCCTAAGCATCACCAGTGAGGCCCAGAAAAACCAAACCTAGACCTAAGTGTTACTTTTTTTTTTCTTTTTGGGTCACATCCAGTGATGCACAGGGGTTACTCCTGGCTCTGCACTCAGGAATTACTCTTGGACCATATGGGATGCTGGGAATTGAACCTGGGTCACCACATGCAAGGCAAATGCCCTACCCACTGTGCTATTGCTCCAGCCCCTAAGTGCTAATTTTTTTTAAGTTATAGTTCCAAGCTCAATCCCACAGAACCAAAATGCCTTTGGGAGTTCTCAACTTTTCAGAATATAAAGGTATCCTATAAAATGTTTGAGGAGCCAAAGAAATAGCTTCTTAAGCTAGGAGTAGCACACCAGACTGGATAGGATGTAAGGTGAAAGGCATCTAATCTCTATGAATAAAATATCAATACAGGAGGCTTAACCTGTAACAACATTTTAGTAATCTCTTATACAACAATATTCACTTACTTTCTTTTAAGCAAATATTTTTGGATCATTGTTTTAGCAAATTATAACAAGCAATAGAAAATAAATTACTGAGGGCCTGCTATGTGGGCAGGCTTAGGGGTGGTTGGGAAAATTGGAGAGAATGGTGGTGGGAAGGTACTATGGTGGTGGGGCTGGTGTTGGTAAACTGAATGTCTGTAGCAAATCATCATGAACAACCTTATAAAACACAGTGTTTATACAACATTGAAGAAATAGCTCCTAGCTGACATCTCCTGGGCTTTTCTGGAATCTAGCTGGAATCCTCTCTTCTCTTCTGGCTAGGTGATAGCAGCCGCCACAGCCAACCTATGTCGTATCAATAGGCCCATCACTCTCAGCAAACCTCACACAGCTCAGTTATAATTTCTTGTCACTGACTGAAGATGGACAGGGAACTTAAAAAACAACTCCCACTCTCTGGGAAGGGAAGGTGCGGTACAGACAGCGACCATGACGAAGTTTGCGCAGTGGCTGTGGGGACTGCTGCTCCTGGGCTCTGTCTGGGCGGCCCTGACCTTGGGAGCCCTGGGTCTAGAGCTGCCCTCAGTGTGCCAGGAGGTGCTATGGCCACTGCCTGCCTACTTGCTGGTGTCCACCGGCTGCTATGAGCTAGACACCATGGGCTACCACGTGGCCACTTTCCACGACTATGAGGATACCGCCCGTGAGCTGCAGAGCCAGATCCACGAGGCAAGAGCTGACTTAGCCCTCAGGGGGATGCGTTTCTGGTAAATTTCTGTGGTAACTCACTCATTTACCTCACTCATTCCCACCACACTCCCCATGCCCCATTAAAGACCATGTTTATTTTCTAAAAAAACAAAAACAAAAACAAACAAAAAACTCCCAAGGGCTGGAGCAATAGTACAGCGGGTAGGGCATTTGCCTTGCAGGCGGCCAACCAGATTCAATTCCCAGCATCCCATATGGTACCCTGAGCACCGCCAGGGAAAATTCCTGAGTGCAGAGCCAGGAGTAACCCCTGTGCATCGCCGAGTGTGACCCAATAAGCAAAAAAAAAAAAAAAAACTCCCAGCCTAATCCCAGGGGTGCTACCTACAAAAATTCATGTGCAGCACAATAAATCCAACAAAAAGATGTATAGGAGCCCAACAACGTCACTAAGTGAAACCAGTACCACAGAAATTTACCAGAACTGTAAATTCTGAGAGTAACTTCAGTGACACCATGTTGAGGATGTTTTTATGAGCTCAAAGAAAGAAAGGCATAGTCAGCAAATCACAAGAAAATATGGAGTGAAATGAGAAAACTAGAAACAGAAATGAAAGAAATTAAGAGTATGATAAGTGATATAGAACATTCAATAGAAGTTCTGAGCAGCAGAATAACATTAGCTGAAGAAAAGATCAAGAAGGCTCAAGATGAGATGCTGGAAACCTCTAGAAAACAAGAGAAGATAGAATTAAGTCTGAAAACAAACTTGGGTCCTTGCACATGAAAAGCATGTGCCCCCGACCAAAATTATTTCCTTGGTCCCTCTAGTTTTTTAAAAAAAGTAAAAGCACACCATACTATATATTTATTATATTGAGGGCGATCTGGCTGCGACATCTGTCACCCCATTGATTGCCAGGGTTGATTCGGCTGATCTGGCTGGCTAGGCGGGTGTCCCCTTCCTCCCTCACCGCTCCATGTGCGTCCCTCCCGAAGCTGCGCGCTCAGTCGAAGAGGACGGCCTTCCCCGATAGAGACAGACCGGTCTTCGGTCGAGAGTATACGAGTAGCTGCGCTCCCCTGCTAGAACCTCCAAACTTATATAATCTTTAAAAAATAAAAAAAGAAAAGAGGCTTCAGGGATGGAAGTGATAATACACCAGGTTAGGCACTTGTCTTGCACTTATCCAACCTGGATTCGATCCCCTGCACCCCATATGGTCTCCCACGCCTATCAGGAGTGATCCCTGAACATAGAGCCAGGAGTAAGTCCTGAGTACTGCCAAGTGTGGGCCACACCCCCCAAAAGAAACAAACAAAAACAGCCTTCAGAAAGAAGCAAAAACAAAACCAGAGAGAGTTCAAGAGGTAAGATGCTTGACTTGCATGCAGTTAATCCTATTTTAATACCCAGCACCAAATACAGTCTCCTGAGCCCCACCAGGAGTGGCCCCAGAGTTTAGAAGATGTCAAGATCTTCTCCAACTCCAGGCATTACACCAGACTGAGTCTCATCCGGGGCTTCCCTTAGCGGATTGTGTGAACCCTCCACTAACCCAAACAGAGCCCTGGCAGCAAAAATCCTCCACAACCCAATCATCACCATGCTCTCAGGGCCAGACTCCACAGGCTCGGTCTCATCCAGGAATGAATCTGTTGAAAAACTCAGGTATGTGGGTTTTGTGACCAAAACGTCCAGGTTCTCAGGGAGTTGGGGATGGGTGATCTCCCCATATCCCCGTTCTTCCTGGAATCTGGCCATCAAGCCCACGAACTGCCTCTGGCACCATATAAGCTCATTAGTGACCATGATCCAGAGACTCACAAATAAATTTTGGAAAGAGCAACAAGCTGTAGAGATGCCTCTAGACCCCAAAGTCACCATCCAGTTAAAAATTAAACTCTAGCTGTATCACATCCACGAATTTTAGAATTCCTGGAGCAAGTACAGCTGCGCAACATCTCATACTCTACACTACTAATATACCAGGAGTAGCACACCACATTGGATGGAATGTAAAGTAGAAGGCAACCAATCTTGATCAATATTATACACAAGGCTTAACCTGAAACAACATGTTAGTAACCTCTTATACAAGGGTTTAATTGCTCCAGGGTGAGATACAACACTCCTCATACACTTTCTTCTAAGGAAATCTTTTTGATCATTTTTAGTGAGCACAGTGGGTAGGGAGTTTGGCTTGCACACGGCCAACCTGGGTACGATTCCTCTGCCACTCTCAGGGAGCCTGGCAATCTACCAAGAGTATCTTATCCGCATGGCAAAGCCTGGCAAGCTACCTGTGCCGTATTCAATATGCCAACAACAGTAACAAGAAGTCTCACAATGGAGATGTTACTAGTGCCTGCTCAAGCAAATAGAAGAACAATGAGAGGATAGTGCTACAGTGCTCTTCATAACAAGCATTGCAAAATAAATTATTTAGGACCTGCTATTGGGGCAAGCTTAGGTGCTGATTGGGAAACTGGCAATAAGGGTGGTGGAAAATTGTAATAGTGTTGGGATTGGGATTGGAATACTGAATGTAATAAATCACTGTGAACACTGTCACTGTCACTGTCCTCCCTTTGTTCATCGATTTTCTTGAGTGGGCCCAGTAATATCTCCACTGGAGACTTTGTTACTGTGTTGGGCATATAGAATATGACACGGGTAGGTTGCCAGGTTTTGCCGTGCAGGCAAGATACTCTTGGTAGCTTGCCAGGCTCTCCGAAAGGGGTGGAAGAATAGAACTCGGGTCGGCCATGTTGGCGGCCATTGTTGTATGAAAGGAGAGAAGGTTAGCATTCCCCTTGACAAGGATAGAAGAGGCTTCAGCCTGCAACACTGTGAACAACTTTATAAAATTTAAAAATAAACAAATTTGTTTTTAGAAAAGAAGGGGAAAAAAGATCTGCCTTAACTCCTCTCCATAACCCAAAGGGAAAAAAATGTATCTAAAATAAACCTTATTTTAAAACTTTTTCCCCATTTATAGAATTCTTACAAACATTGTAAGTTTATTAGTACTAACTTACCAGAAGTTGTTCCACCAGTTTCTTTACATTCTTCCCCATTTCTGGGGACTGTGATCCACTACATGCTAGTTTTATTAACATTGCAAGGAAGTTCTTACATTTCTTCACATTTTCCAACATTGTCTAATATAGATATACAAACAAACACAAATGTTAGAAAATCAAATACAAGGACATTTGTAAAGAGCTGTTCTTATGTAAGGTACAAATGAGAGCTCACTGGAGTAAGGTTAGCCTGAGCAGTAGGTGTTTTGACCTTGGCTTCATTTGCAGGTGTAGATGTTGCTCCCAAACTCGAAGACTTCAGGTTTGTTACAGTAGTCAATGGTTTTACAGGTGTAACTGTGACAACATTGGTTGGCACTGCCACTGTCTGAAATTAAAAGTAGTGTATATTTAGATACAATGATGTACTATCATAGTAGGTCTCAATTCACATTTATTACACATAGATTACACATAGATCTTGACATCTTCATTTTATGTTATGCTCTATTAAACTAAAGCAATGCAACACAGTTAATAAGAGCTTGAGACTAGCAAACCTGGGTTTCATTCTAAGAATCTAACTGCCTACTTTTCATTGATACCAATCAAAAATTAACTTAGAATAATTTAATCTTCCTAACCTATTATTCCTGTCTGTAAAAAACAAAAATACAATGGTAACTACTATCTTCATTTATTATCAATACTTTTTCAAAAAGGTTTGCAATGGCAAGTATTTATGTAAAAATACAAAACTTTCATTTTTTCTTTTCTATTAAGAAAATATACTAATTATATTCCAGTAAGCTCTTTGAGTAAATATAATAAATATTATGAAATATGTTTTCATATTAAAAAGAAATGTTTCACCTTCTACTGAAATTAGGTATGAGTATAGCACCACCTACAGGATTAAAAGTTTAATGCAAGAAATCACAAGAAATAGTTTCTTAAGCAACCCTTATTTTATTTATTTCAAAAGAATTTATTATTTTTGCTTTTGTTTTGGGTCATAACCAGCAATTCTCAGGGGTACTACTGGCTCAACACTCAGGAATTACTCCTGGCAGTGTTCTGGGCCCTCCCGTTGATCATCGATTTGCTCGAGCGGGCCCAGTAACGTCTCCATTGGAGACTTTGTTGTTACTGTGTCTGGCATATCGAATACTCTCGGTAGCTTGCCAGGCTCTCCGAGAGGGGCGGAGGAATCGAACTCGGGTTGGCCATGTTGGCTGTGTGCAAGGCAGACGCCCTACCCGCTGTGCTATGATACGGGAAGCCAGGGTGAATTGAATCTGCTTGCAAGACAAGTGTCCTACCCACTGTAGTATAGCTCTGACCCCAAGCAACCCTATTTTAAAGACAAATAGCACTGCACTGTCCTCCCATTGTTCATATATTTGCTCGAGGGCCCAGTAATGTCTCCATTGTGAGACTTAGTTACAGTGTTTGGCATATCGAATAGGTCACGGGTAGGTTGCCAGGCTTTGCTGTGCGAGTGAGATAGTCTCAGTAGCTTGCTGGACTCTACGAGAGGGACAGAGGAATCAAACTTGGGTTGGCCACGTTGGCCACATGCAAGGCAAATGCTCTACCTGCTGTGCTATTGCTCCAGCCCAAAGACAAATAGTAAACATTACAGATGAGTAAAGTTTGGAAATGGAAAAGAGAATAGCGTTACTCTCTCACACATAGTGTTTTAAAGGCTGAACACAAGTCAACTGCTATCATCAAAAATATTTCAAAAGTTAAGAGACATAAAATTGAATTACAATAAAGATTTTCCACTTTATGAGACTGGAGTTTATATCAGACCAGAGTGTCTTTGTAAAAATAATTTTAATTTGGGGCTGGTTCGACAGCACAGCAGGTAGTGCGTTTGCCTTGCACGTGGCCCACCTGGGTCTGGTTCCCAGCATCCTATATGGTCTCCTGAGCACTGCCAGGAGTGATTCCTGGCAGAGCCAGGAGTAACCCCTGTGCATTGCCAGATGTGACCCAAAAAGGAAAAAAACCCCACAAATAATAATACTGTACTGTAGTACTGTCCTCCTGTTGTGCTTCGATTTACTTGAGTGGGCACCAGTAAAGTCTCCATTGTGAGACATGTTGTTACTGGTTTTGGCATATTGAATACACCACAGGGAGCTTGCCAGGCTTTGCCATGCGGATGGGATACTGTCGGTAGCTTGCCAGGCTCTCTGAAAGGGATGGAGGAATCAAACCCAGGTTTAATTCAAAAATCATTTCTAATCCACAGTAAGACTCAATACACCCTTAATTTTTTAAAACAAGGGCAGGCCATACCCAGCAGTGTTCAGGGCCTATGCCCATTTCTATGGTTGGGAGTTGCACCTGCAACTGGCAATGCTCAAGGGACGCTGGGGTACTGGGGACTGAATCCAGGCCTCCAGTGTTCATCCCGTTGAGTTATCTGACTGCTGAATTTATCTTGTAATTCCAGAGCACAGAGCTTTCAACAAGGAAAAGTAAAGTTTTAAGGATGAAATTGAAAATTAAAAATACCAACTAATTATAAAGATGAACTAAAAAATGAAATGCTAAGCAAAAAAGGTAGTATTAAAACTGCACCTGGGGGCTGGAGCGATAGCACAGCGGGTAGGGTGTTTGCCTTGCACACGGCCGACCTGGGTTCAATCCCCGGCATCCCATATAGTCCCCCAAGCACCGCCAGGAGTGATTCCTGAGTGCAGAGCCAGGAATGACCCCTGAGCATTGCTGGGTGTGACCCAAAAAGCAAAAATAAATAAATAAAAATAAAACTGTCACTGTCCTCCCATTGTTCATCGATTTGCTCGAACGGGCACCAGTAACGTCTCCATTGTGAGACTTGTTGTTACTGTGTTTTGGCATATTGAATACATCATGGGTAGCTTGCCAGGCTTTGCCGTGCGGCCGAGATATTCTCGGTAGCTTGCAGGGCTCTCTGAGAGGGGCAGAGGAATTGAACTCGGGTCGGCCATGTTGGCTGCGTGCAAGGCAAACACCCTACCCAATGTGCTATCGCTCCAGCCCAAAACTGCCCCTAAATTAGTAAAATTCTACTAAATATAAACAATCTGTAAGGCAATAATGAAAAAGTTGCCTATTTTTCAATTTTAAAATATATAATTAGAGGTGCTCTCAGGAGGTCTGGGACTCCACCAGTGATTCCTGGTCAACCTGGCTTGCAGTTCCGAACAGGGACCCAAGGGTGCAATGCTGCTCTAGACCTGAAGTACCAGTAATACTCAGGTCATACAAATATTACTAGAGGCCTCCAGGTCCAGTTCAGTTATGCTCGACAGCCTCCAGGACTGCATCTGCCAAAATTGGAAGACTATGTGGTACTGGGAAGCGAACCCAGATAAAGTATATTTCAAGGAGGATCATTTGTAAATCATATGTCAATCTAATAATAAGTCAATATTGGGGGACAGAGAGATACTACAGGAGATAAAGTGTCATTGATCCCAGTTAGATCCCTGGCATCACATATGGTTCCCCTATACACCACCAGAGGTCACTCCTGACCACACAGCTAGAAATTAATTATGCTAGCACCCCAAGATGTGGCCCCCCACCAAAAACAAATAAAAATTAAAATTAATATATATCTTAATACAACATAAAATTGAACATGGATTTTAAACTATAATATGTAATATTTAAATACTCAGTATTGTTTAATATTTAATACAATAATATTTAATAGGGCTGGAGTGATAGCACAGCAATAAGGCGTTTGCCTTGCACTTGGTCAACCCGGCCAACCCGAGTTCGATTCCTCTGCCCCTCTCAGAGAGCCCGGCAACCTACCGAGAGTATCTCGCCTGCACGGCAAAACCTGGCAAGCTACCCATGAAGTATTCGACATGCCAAACCCAGTAACAAGTCTCACGATGGAGACGTTACAGGGCCTGCTTGAGCAAATCAATGAAACACAGAAGGACAGTACAGTGCAATGCAATATTTAATAGATCTAACATTCAATAGATACTATACTAGTTAATAGTTCTGACATTTCAAGTCATCTTAAACTACTCATACTTATTAAGAAGATACTTTCAAAATTTCTTTAAATACATTTGCCCTTATAATTAATCAAGTACAGAATTCTATCTTCTCTATTCCTCATGTTCTAGATCCTTATTCAATCTTAAGTGAGATTCTCTCCTCGAAAGCTGGCACTAATATCATTCACTAACTTCACTGGACAATGTCTACTCATTTAGCAGTAATCTACCAACTTAAAATATACAATTTCTAGGAAAAGTTATAAACAAGAGATCTCCAAACCTACTCGGATTGGGGCCGAGCATCCTCCACCCAGATCCTCCAAATTCCAGTAGGCGGGGGTCACACCCACCAACTGGCCCCCTGGCGCCGTGTAATCCCATCAACGGCCAAGACTCAGAGACTATAAAAACCAGCTCCCGGAACCGCGAGGCTACATTTGTGGCCGCATGACATCTTATTATCTCATTCCTACTTTGGACAAACTGGCAGGCTACCGAATGTAGCCTGCCCACACGGCAGAGTCTGGCAAACTCCCCATGGCATATCCAATATGCCAAATACCAGTAACAATGATGGGTCTCATTCTCCTAAAGAGCCTTGAATATAATCTCAGGGCTAGGATGAAGGAGACGTTACTGGGGCCTGTTCGAGGCAATCGACGAATAACAGGATGATTTGTGATTTGTGATTTGAATATACATAGAACAATAAACACAGGGATAGAATCTAAGCAATATATATATATATATATACACATATATACACACACACACACACATATATATGAGCTGGAACGATAGCACAGCAGGTAGGGCGTCTGCCTTGCACACAGCCAACATGGCCAACCCGAGTTCGATTCCTCCGCCCCTCTCGGAGAGCCTGGCAAGCTACCGAGAGTATCTCGCCCGCATGGCAGAGCCTGGCAAGGTACCCGTGATGTATTCAATATGCCAAACACAGTAACAACAAGCCTCATGAAGGAGACATTACTGGGTCCGCTCAAACAAATTGATGAACAATGGGAGGACCATGACCGTGACATATATATACTATTTTAGAACACTCATTTGTGCTAAATCTTTAAGAAATAGAACAACTTTGAGGGCTAGAACAATAGTACAACAGGTAGTGTGTTAGCCTTATATGCAGCTGACTGGGTTCGATCCCCAGCATCCCATATGGGCCCCTGTGTCAGCCAGAGTGAACCTTGATACATCCTGATGCCTCAACATCCTCACAAATGAGTTGTGAGCATCCCAGGTGAACAACTGCTGGTCCTAGTCACAAGTTCCCCTTTCCATCCTCATCTGTGAAAATCAAATACACATACACTGCCTCATATCTTTTACTTCTATTCTCTATCCTAGACATTTTGCCTAGGTCTTAATTGCATTAGCCTCTTATTTATCTGAACCCCATTCTCTAGGTTTTTCTCCTGTATGATTCCCTACAAAGATTGCCATACCTCCCTTTCAATAACCTGAGAGCATAAGCCTTTCACTTTCATACTCCTCTGTAGCAGTTTTCCATGTCTATATCTGACTTATCAGAAGAAAAATACCCACTAAGTTACATAATTCACTGTCCACTGTCCTCCCATTCATCGATTTACCTGAGCAGGCACCAGTAACATCTCCATTGTGAGACCTGTTGTTACTGTGTTTGGCATATCAAATACGTCACGGGTAGCTTGCCAGGCTTTGCCGTGCGGGTGAGATACTCTAGGTAGCTTGCGGGATTCTCCAAGAGGGGTGGAGGAGTCGAACTTGGGTCAGCCAGGTCGGTCACGTGCAAGGCAAATGCCCACCTGCTGTGCTACTTGATAGCAAGTTACATAATTATTGCTCATAAAACTCAGTTGGCCAAATCATACCCTTTGGTCTAATAATTTCTTTCAAATTTATCCAGAGTTTGAGATACTCAGTACAGAGGTCATTACCAAAAGAATTTCCAAAATCACATAGATTTACAAAATTACCCCAAATACTGACAAAACCATTCAGGTTTCTCAGCCTGTCCATATTTATTTTCATATATATAACATGGAGGCAATACTTTCTTATAAAGCAGTCACAAAAACAAAATTCAATAGGTATAAAGCATTTTAAAAGTGTGAAAAACAGGGGGATATGCTGCCAGCAAGTCAATCTGTACCTGCAGGGTGAGGGTATCAGCAGCGTAATGGTGGCTTCGGGCTGATATCTGATACCCAAAAATTGTCACTGTACCTTTGGTCGAACCCCAACAACTTGGAATCAAGCTTCCTAAGAAATTAAATGGCCAAAAGTAAGGTATGTGGGAGCCACACCCACAAACCACCTCTGGCTCAGCTATACAAGCTCATTTATCAGCAGTATTTCAGAGACCCAGAAATAAATCTGGAAAGAGATTAAAACCCACTGTTAATCTTGGACCCACACAAGGCTGAACAGAATGGAGTAACTTAGAGGGGGGTGGATTAGCCTGATTCCCACCCAAGCAGAGCTCCCAGCAGCAACTTGTTTCCACAATCTAAAATCGCCACATTCCCCCACTGACTCCACTGTCTCAGGACAGGCCCACTATGTAGGTTCTTCTACTGGTCTTGCTCCAGAGACCCATAAGTAAATCTTGGAAGAGATCAAAAGCCATAGTTAATCTCAGACCCCTGTATGTCTGAATAGAGTGGGGTAAATCAGATGGGGGCAGGTTGGCCTCAAGCCCACCCAAGCAGAGCCCCCCCACAGGCACTTGCTTCCACAATCCGAAATTGCCAACATACCCCCAGACTGACTCCACCATCTCAAAATGGACCTCACTGAGATATAATCTACTGAAAATTCAGGCATGCGGGTTTTGTGACTGAAATCTCCAGGCTTTCTCCAGGTTGGGATGGGCAACCTCCTCCCAATCACTCCCTGTACTTCGGGAGCCTCAGCAGTCACATCCACACCACAAAACTGCCAGCCACCCTGTTAAAAAGCTACTCTAGTCTTATTGTCCTGACAAAATTACTGAATGCCCTGAACAAACACGATGACCTCTTAGCACCTGTATTACATACCATAATGCACAAAAGGAAAAGGAGGGGGGAGGAGGGAGATGGGGAGAGAGAGAGAGAGAGAGAGAGAAAGTGCCTCTCATAGAGGGAGGTCAGGGGTGGGAGGGTGGGGGAAAAGGACATTGGTGGTGAGACGTGGACACTGGTGGAGGGATGGGTAAAACCCCATTATGACAGCTTTGGTAATGGTCTATCTCATGGATTATTCAATTAATTTTATTAATTATTTAAATAATTGCAGAGTCTCCTGCCCCCGTTCCTACATCTTATTATCTCATTCCTACTTTGGACAAACTGGCAGGCTACCGAATGTAACCTGCCCACATGGCAGAGTCTGGCAAACTCCCCGTGGCATACCCAATATGCCAAATACCAGTAACAATGATGGGTCTCATTCTCCTAACTCTAAAAGAGCCTTGAATATGGCACTTTTTAAAAAAATCTCAGGGCTAGGACGAAGGAGACGTTACTGAGGCCTGCTCGAGGCAATCGACAAATAACAGGATGGTCGTCGTCATCGTGAATAAATTAATATTAAAATATAAAATAAATTAATTGAATATTAAATTAATATATGGAGTTCATGTCCACTTTAATCAGCTTAATAAATGGCTGAATAAATAGCAGTACTCCTACATTAAAAAGAAAGTATCAAGAAGATTAAGTGTTTAACTGGTAGCCACTATTAGAGGGAAAACAATAACCATGAAAATCTGTTTTTATTGCTCGTCATCTTTGCTAGAGAATAAGAATGAGAGGGCTGTAACTAAATATATTTTGGTACACCAATAGAGGGCTTCAGTCTACCAGTTTCACATAATATGCTTCAGAAAACACATTCTCCATATGGCAAAGAAAGTCTACGAGTGTTGCATGACCAAATCATCTACTGACTGTACCAGGTAGGGCAATGGTTTTGTACACTGCCAGGCTATAAGTGTAGAAAGGCTGAAAACTAGTGGTTATAAATATGGGTCTATGGAGCAGTATCCAGAAAACTGCTGGTATAAGAAGGTTGAAAAGGTTGACCCAGAAACTGCTAGCCTAGGAAATATCACAATAGGTTGCAGAAGGTCAAGGTAGAGTGTAAACTCAGATGCAACATTTTTATAGCTGGAATTCCATCTTCTATCTTCCATGACTCGGTCATGGAGTTATAAAAAATTAAATATGGTACTTATGTTCCCAATAGGTCAAATACAATACCTCAGGGAAGAAGGTCTAGTCATGGCCTTCATGACCTCTTAAACTATCGAGATTAAAAGGTAAAGGTAAAGGTAAAGGTAAAGGCCCTCCCGTCGATCGTCGATTTGCTCGAGCGGGCCCAGTAACGTCTCCATTGGAGACTTTGTTGTTACTGTGTCTGGCATATCGAATACTCTCGGTAGCTTGCCGGGCTCTCCGAGAGGGGCGGAGGAATCGAACTCGGGTCGGCCATGTTGGCCGCTTGTAAGGCGAACGCCCTACCCGCTGTGCTATCACTCCAGCAGATCGAGATTAAGAGTTGGGAATTAACATACAGCGCTATTGAATGCATACTGAAGGAGAGTGACAATGAGTATCAACTTCAATTTAACTTTATTAATATCCTCTTCTTTGTTTCCTCGAGGAAGAAACCCACTATAACCCTAGAAGAACTGGCCTTCAAGGAAGCCAATTACCAGCATTGAAAGAAATAGACTTACATACCATCACAGGGCAAAATCTATGAGACCTAACTGCTGGGAATGCTACTAGACACTTCCAGTTGTCAGTTCCTTCAGGGTTTGCCTCAGAGAATTACCTAACCCATGAGTTAATAGTCCCTCGAGAATCCCAACTAATTCTAACCACAGGGAAGGAATTAAGGCCTTGTCAACTATATTGTTACAAAACAGGGTAACTCAGACATGCCATAATTTTTCTTTCATGTGGTAGAGATAGGTCCAGTGAAAAAGCACTATTTAGGTCTAGCATGCTGAGAGCCACAAGGGCTACACCCAGCAGTACTCAAAGGTGTTAGTGGTGGTATGATAGAAATATGGTGCCAGGAATCAAACTCAGGACCTTTACATGAAAATCTCCGTAACCCTGAATTATCTCCCTGGCCTCTGAGTTATCTCCCTGGCCTCTGACTGGTCATATTTCTTTCTAATTCTTCACCGGATTGGCTGAAGTTTTATTGGGACTACATTAAGTTCAAAAACTTATTTACTCTGTCCCTTCCAGAGGTATCAATTCTTAAATAAGTATCACATCCACCAAAAATTCAGTCACAGCACCTGCTTCTAGACACTGAGATACTTTGGTATTGGATATATCAGTATTACTCAAAATATTCAAGTAAAACTTTAGGATTTCAGGAATATGTACTATGTTTATCCTGCTATCTCCATATTTTCAACAGTTTCCAATTTAATAATGTCATCATATATTAGTGATGGCCACGACCCAGAGCTATAAAACCCAGCTCCCATTCATGGCCACGTGACATCTTATTATCTCATTCCTACTTTGGACAAACTGGCAGGCTACCAAATGTAACCTGCCCACACGGAAGAGTCTGGCAAACTCCCCGTGGCGTAACCAATATGCCAAATACCAGTAACAACGATGGGTCTCATTCTCCTAACCCTGAAAGACCCTTGAATATGGCACTTTTTAAAAAATCTCAGGGCTAGGACGAAGGAGACGTTACTGGGGCCTGCTCAAGGCAATCGACAAACAACAGGATGGTTGTGATCGAGATATTTCAGTATCACATAGTTAGCAACATATACATCTGAAATGACTAAATAACAGAGAAAGATGAAATAACCAATGAATGCATAGCCACAACTCAAGTCACAACTTACCTGAACTGAGGAAGACTTTGGAACAGTAGTTACCACAGTAGTTCCTATTTGTGACAATTTGTTAACAGGTGCCACTGCTACTTTCTTGATTACTTGTGAACCAGAATTCTGCAGGTAGGGATGAAAATAACATTGTCAATATTATTAAATATTGAAAAATATGTCATCAATATTATTAAAGTTAAATCATTATGAGGAACATTTAAGCACTTTATCAGAGTAAAGTTCTGTTATAAAAGGCTTCATAACCTTATAGATTCTATGCATATTCCCTAATATAAACCTAGCTGGTAAATAGACCAGCTGACACATCATATTCCTTTTGCTCACACCAAAACATAAATATTTTTGTTTAATATCAAATCACGGATTACGGTCCTCCCGTTGTTCATCGATTTGCTCGAGCGGGCCCAGTAACGTCTCCATCGTGAGACTTCTTGTTACTGTGTTTGGCATACCGAATACATCACGGGGAGCTTGCCAGGCTTTGCCATGCAGGCAAGATACTCTCGGTAGCTTGCCAGGCTCTCCGGGAGGGGTGGAGGAATCAAACTCGGGTCGGCCATGTTGGCTGCGTGCAAGGTAAATGCCCTACCGCTGTGCTATCGCTCCAGCCCAATATCAAATTATAAACAAAAAATCTATTAACCTTATCTTCTTAATCCACAGCAGTGAGATAAAGCAAACTATAAAAAGAAGCATTTTTATTAAGGGAGGGTGGACTCCGGGAGCCCAGAGGCAGCAGTTCAATGCTAGAGTCTGAAGATCCAGTACTACTTGAGACCTGCAGTGCCAGGACCACCAGGGTCATCCGAACAGTGTTCAGGGGGCTTCCACACCCATACCTGGCAATTCTCAGAACATGTGGGCATAGGTCAAACCCAGGTTAGAAACATGATAGACATATGCTCCAGTCACTGTCCTAACTCTTACCAAAAAGAACCATGATATAATAGAGAAAATGAATGACTGAGAACCTAGAATCAAATTAAGACAACATCAAATAGAGAGGAAGAACTGGCAAAGAATAGTATCACAGAATACTAAATGCTAACACAGAGCAGTATCACAGAAAACAGCCTTTCATGAGGATGAGCCTGACTCAGCAAGAAAATGTTATAAAACATTCAGTACTTTCTGTGTAAGCACAAAAAGATGTTAGTAAGACTTCAGGCACATAAAATATACTTCAGATACCTAGAAAGATTATGGATATAAAATTATAGAGCTGAATGGTTAGTTTTTTTTCCATTCAGAGATGCAACTATTCTTCCGAACGTTCCATAGAATTATAAAATATCTGACCATGAAAACTGCATTTTCATTATTTTATTAGTTTAGCACCTACCAAATGGCAAAACCAAACATGCTGATCAATTTTACTTATTTTTTTAAAGGTGACTTAATTCATAAAGCTGAGTGGGATTATTTCTTTGATTATACAGAAATAGTAACTACAAAGCTAAGAAAATGGAACAAAACTAAGGTTCATTACCGGCACTGTACAGATTTTGACTGTTTGAGTATTTGTTGGTACAGCTGGCCTTGAAGTTATGTTACTTGCTGTCTCATTTCTTGTTACAGCTTGCTGAGGAGATACCAACATCAACTGACCACTGTTACTTTTTATTAAAACTGTTCCTGTAATTAAAAGAGGAAAAAAAGTTAACCTCTGAGCTAATAAAGGAAGCATAAGTGTAGAATAATACTGGTTTGTCCTTTCTCCCTTGCCACAGGGAGTTTAGGTTTATCGGTTTACACCCATCACAGTGCTCCCTAGTCACTCCCATTCTTCTGTGTTTATCTTTAAACTTTTCTCTGTGCTCTCCTCCCCAACCAGTTAATCACCTTTTCCCCTAATCAGATTCTGTTAATTTGTAAGATCACATCCTTCTAAGGACACTGAACTTGTAAGTTATGTCTTTTACATAGTTTACCTTAAAGCAATATCCTTTCTGTATGGATACAGGAAGACAGTTAACATTATGCTTTGTAACTTGGGAGTTGATTGACTCCAAATTATATTTACTCCTGGGCATCTGCTTTCTCGACTCAGTTGCCCTTAGTTCCTAGCATCCCAAAAGCAGGGTCCCGATGAGGGACTGAATGGACTCAAGGCAAGTTGTGAGCTACCCTGGCATCAAAATAGGCGAGGCCAAACACAACTATTAGTTGAGGGCATGATCATGGACAAATGCTATCCTGATCCAAAAGACTAGGACCCTGCTGGGGTTAGGAAGACTAAACTGGCCTGAGGACTGTGGTCTGGAATATATAGTGAGATGTCCTCAGGAAGAACCAAACTATAAATTTTTAATCTCTTACTGTGCTCATACAAAATGATACTGCTAGAAATATTAAAAGTAGATTTACTACAACTATTTAAGTGGATTACTAGCTGAGGAAAGAACACACCCTCGTAGGGATCCCACCCTTGAGCGGATCTCCTAGTAATCTGGAGTAATCTCTTTAGATGAGACTTTATCCTTGAGTTAATCTCCTGGAGGAGCTGTCTTTGTTGATTTGTTAATGTTCAACTCACCTTTGTGTAATCACCCTATGTGATTGCTATGTAAATTAAGACTTTAAGAGTGGAGGGGGCAGAGTCAGATCCAGAGGCGGGATGGAGAATGAGGGGGGAGCAAGAGGGAGAATAAGAGGGGACTCGGGAGAGAGAAGCAGAAGGGGATTGGAGATTGGAATAAACTCCAATTGATACCGACCAGCCTCGGTCCTTCCTTCCTTCTCCTACCTATTGCCTCCCCAGGGCGGGGGAAGCGGCCCAAGACCACCTGAACGCAGGTGGCAAGAGAGAGAGTGCTGCCGGCCTTTTGAAAACACACACATAAGCACCATATTTTCTTTTTCCATTTCCTTCAACATTAAAAATTCTCTAAAAAGTGATTAGTAGATTCTAACTTCCATGGCTATTATAAAATAAGATATGGGAAAATGTTTTCACCTTCAAAAGAAAAAAAGTACGAGGAAAAGAACAATGAAAAGAACCAGGAAAAAAGTTTTCAAAGTTTTTTAAAATATTACATGTCTAAGTTGATATTCCTGAAGGAAAACAAGTTACCTAATAACCACATTATTTATAAAGCAGAGTAAGTAAAATGGTACAGTAATGAGAAAAAAAAAATCAGTGGAACAAAGAATCTCAAAATAAACTGATATAAATGTGTCATAGCAAATATTTCTAACAGATACTACAGACAGGTTGGGGAAGAAAAGAGAAATCTCAGTAGCTTTGGGCTAGGTCAAATGGTAATCTACATAAAAAAATAAAAAGCTTTGCAGCAAAAAAAAAAAGTGAGGGCATTAAGGATACAAAAGGGAAAACTACTTCAAACATTTAAATTCGTAGATAATGTAGAAAATTCTTTCTAAATCTGGGACATAAAATAATTTCTTAACACAAGAATTTCTTGATACAACCAACTACATTAAAAGGACATTTCTTTAGCAAAAGATGTCACCAGGTAAAAAGATAAATCAAAAACGGTAGAAATATTATATTCTATGTATACTCAAAAGATAAGTATCAAAAATGCACAACAGTGGAGCTGAGTGACAGTACAGTGGGTAGGGCACTTGCCTCACACAGTTGATATGGGTTCAATACCCAGCAACTGTATGGTCCCCAGAGCAGGAGTAAGCCCTGAGCACTGCCAGTTGTAACCTCTCAAAAAAAAAAAAATGCACAACAGAAACAGAAGATGGGGATTTGACTATGGTAGAGCACATACTATTTGAGACCATGGGTTCAATCCCTATCACAGGAAAAAAAAAATAAAAACAGAGATGCCAATGGTAGACGAGTACAGAGATATGGCTTTCTATTAACTACACAAGCACAGACTACTAAGTCTTGTGGCAATTATGAAATGTTAGTAAAGAGTGAAGCATGAGCTGGACGGTACAGTTGGTAGGGTATTTGCCTTGCATGCGGCCAACCTGAGTTCAATCCCCAACATACCATGTTTCCCTGAACCTATCAGGAATAAGTCCTGAGTCCTGCCAGTTGTGACCCAAAAATAAACCAAAAAAAAGTGTAGCAGCAGAAACTTGAACATCGTGATATATTAGTATAATTTAGTATAAGTGTTTTACTCAACTTTATGTAATTGTGCCAAATTTATTTCCAGTTGCATACCCTCTAACCGAGTTCTTGCTCGTCAGCAGAAGGCACAAACAAAAGAATTCATAGTTGAATCAATATTAATAATATTATTTTCAGAATGATAATGTAAAAAGCTCAACAAAACCTTTACTTATCAAAACAAGTATAACTGATAAAAATTACTTTTAGAAACCACCAGTTCAAGTCTTCAGAAACTGTCCCATTCACATAAAAATTACTATGTGAGGCTGAAAAAATAGTACAGTGGGTACGGCACTTGCCCTGCACGTGGCCAATTTGGGTTCAATCCCCAGCATCCCATATAGTCCCACAAGCAATGCAAGGAATTGTTCCTGAGTACAGAGCCTGAGCATCACCAGGTATGGTCCTCCAACAACAACAAAAGAAAACTTACTACACAATTAATACTTTTCCTTAGACTATACTGGGACTAACTGGCATGTCCAAAAATTTTCCTTTCTTTTTTCTTTTTGGGAAATTAGCTTTGGCTTCTCCATGAAGCTTATTAAAATGCAAATTTAAAAAAATAAAATGGTATATTGTGAAAAACCATTGCTTTAAATTTTTCTTTTTGTTCATCTCTGTGTGTGTGTGTGTGTGTGTGTGTGTGTGTGGTTGTCTGATGCTTTAAAAATTCCAAATATTTATTTCATACAAAAAGGAGGGGAACATGCTAGGTAATTTATGAACTTGAACAATGCTAATGAAAACAGTAGAAGAAACATTTGGAAAAGAAAATATGCATAAAATGTTTGTACTTATATTAAAAGGTAATGATGCAATTGGATTGAGCTGCAAAATTGTAATGCCATATTTTTAATTTATCTCATTGCAAGTTTGAATCAGTTAAAACAGATACACTGTTTATAATACATCTTGTATATCTAGTTTTTCTCTGATAGTATCTGTTACAGCTTCATTTTTTTTCTTTGTTGTTGTTGTTTTGTTTTGGGGTCAAAATCAATGCTCTGAGTTTACTTCTGGTTCTGTGCTCAGGACTCACTCCTGACAGTGCTTCCAGAACCAACAACATGTGATGCCAGAGATTAAACTGGAGTTGGCTGTGTGGAAAACAAATGCTTAAACCCTTGTTCTAGCTCTCCATAATTTTAGCTTTTTATTTCACTTAATTCTAAATCCTGTATGTTGAGTCCAGATTTCAGCTAGCAGAATATACAGCTGTTTACTAGTGAGAATGAGATACTTTGAAATGCAAAGGACAGTATTAATCATTATATTGTATATCAAGATCTTTGCAAACTAGAATATGTGATTATTTTTGCATGTCTAAAGTTAGATGAAAGCAAAAACAAATAGCACAGTGCAAAATAAGCAGAAAAATAAATCCTCCTTACTTCTGCCTTGGGCTGGAGCGATAGCACAGTGGTAGGGCATTTGCCTTGCACACGGCCGACTCGGCTGACCTGGATTCGATTCCTCTGCCCCTCTTGGAGAGCCCGGCAAGCTACTGAGAGTATCTGGCCCACACAGCAAAGGCTGGCAAGCTACCTGTGACATATTCGATATGCCAAACACAGTAACAACAAGTCTCACAATGGAGACATTACTGGGCCCACTCGAGCAAATCGATGAACAATGGGAGGACAGTGCTACAGTGCTACACAATTATTAAAGAGAATCTACTAAAATACATTTTACAGCAAAACTTCGGTGACATTCACATCTAAACCAAGAGGCCATTCACTCCCTCTCTTTTCTCTGTTCAGCATAAGCTCCACTACAGGCAGTGAAGTGTATTCAACACAAAAGCCTCCTCTCCTAAGAAGCCAGTTGAAAAATATATCTTCCTGGGATGTGCTGGCCACCAGGATCTCATCTCTCCCAACCCAAGCTATAGACTGCAGAGGGCAAATTTGAGCCTAATTTCAAAGACAATTCAGACTTCTATTCATAAGGAAAAAAATTCTACCTCAGAAATGGCACACTGCGCCTCACTCTCACAGCTCTTACATAAAATGAAAATTCCAAGCTGGGAATTCCAGACCCTATTAACCATGACCAGTACACTATTCCTAAAACAGGGACTATCTTTCACAACATACCACAATCCTGGTCCCAGCTCTGATATATCCCTAGAAGAACTAATGTTATTTCAAGGCTCGGGGTGGTCTAAAATACAAAGGGAAAATTAAAAGAAAACTGGTAAATTTCATGATAGATAAAGCTAAGTCATGTATCGAGTTTACTAGGATAAAAAGACAAGGAGAAAAGAAGGGGCTTCTTGGGGTTAGATAAATCTCAAACAATTATCTCAAAAAAAAAACCCCAAAAGGAACCAAAACTTAACTAGAGGTTGGGGGTAGAGGGGGTGGCACACCCCTGGTGGCACTAGGGACCATACCTGGTACCAGGACTTGAATCAGAGTCATACCCATGCCTCTCAGGCCAGGTATACAGTTAAAAAAAAAATCAAGAACTTATACTACTCTTGCAAGCAGACATTAAAATGAAACTCAATGACTATTACATATACAAA